GGGGGGGGTGGTCCGTTATCAAAACACAGACGGAGAGGAGATAAATCTACGGTAGGGAGATTGGTATAGCAAACCTTGGCCGCCGTGAGGGCGGGTGGAAACGCGACGAAGACGCGTCTGCTGACATTTCGACTGTCACAAGCGACGTTGTCCGCGGACTTTGGTACGTAGTAGTTCTGACTTGCGCATGAATTAATTTGAATCGAGACACTTTTACACCATATACCGCACCTTCCCTTTGCTCCGATGCCAGTACTAAGACGACTGGAGGTGATTGTGTGCGTAGTGGCTAGCCAATTTGAATTGTACATTTACGCACGTACCACACACGATCTGGCTTTCAATACACGCATAGGGCTACAATAACGATGACTCAGATCTCACATGCCTCAGAGGACCACAACAGCTACTTTGAGGAGCCACTGTGGCCTGAATCTCGGGCCTCAGGATGTTAACGATCAGCCAGGATAATTGAACGATACCTACAGTCCTCCCTAGGCGTGCTATGGGTTTCCTACTTTAACGTTTGACAAGGAACTTGGTCACGGACAGGAATGTGTGTAAAATATGGTAGGGAATTAGTTATTTCGGGAATGTGCGGCTGCTAGCGGGGCTCGAGAATGAGTCCCAAAGCAGAACGGGACGGACGAGTTCCGATTTGTGAGCGTACATCCATCAAACGGGACTTACTTTGCATCAAATCTCCTCACTCTAGTCACCGCTTTTCTCTTTACCGACAAGTTCCCCACTAAAAAGACCATGACTGAATTTTCGTAAAAGGTTAGTTTTGCCAAGTCTAGTGTATTGAAAACAAGGACGGGGAACAAAGTGGTTTGTGGAGGGTAATTGAGGGAAGACAAGGCCGGGAAGATGAACTATGCGCGCAGATGATTGACAGGAGGAGGAAATTACGTAAAGCGTTCTGCTGCCTGGTCTAGGCGCGTGAGAAGTCGATGACCTGAAATGAAGCCCAGAGTAAGTACAGGCTATAAGCATGGGCAGGACATCAAACTCTTTGAAATTGCGCAACTAATTTTTAAATTAATAAACTAAACGGGGCCTATCTACTGATAAAAGATAAAAAAGTGTATAGACGAAGAGGTTACTAAACTGTCGACAAGTCTGCGACTTAAGTTAAGTTGTAGTAGTTAGCGTGGCAAAATAAAACACACTGACTGCCGCTCAAATACAGAAATTTACCAATTACTTGGCCCCCGGGAGCCGTATAATGCCTTCGTACAGCGTTGTCATGGGGTTGGAAACCCAAAAAAAGCAAGCGAAGAAATCACTCAGGCGAGGACTACAAAATAACGCACCGAGAGGTGGAAAATGAACTTATATTCCAACAACGTCGTAAAAGATGACAGCTACCGGAGCATGCCATCAAGGGCAAGTTTCTTTCGGGCGTTAAAGTGATATATGCACAACTTTCTAATTAGGTAAACTTTAGGAAGTCATTGATCTCTTTTAACTCTGGCTAGCTGGGCACCAATAGATGGTGGTACGAATATAATTATGCAAGACAGTGTCGTGTGGGAGAATTGGTAGAACACTCGGAACAAAAAGAATTGAGACTACCCACCTGGATATTTGGAGAAGAATCCGCTACGTACACCGCGGACAGACTCCGGCCGGCAAGAGCACAAATTTTTCCGGAATATGCAAACTGCTGTCCAGAACCACCAGGCGGAAGTTCCCACACGAAGAGCTGGGAGTCGTTGCCCCCGCTTACAATGTGGGTGTCCTAAAATGAAAATGTCTCAGGTTGAGGGTGCTTAGACGGACAAAGCTGTGGTACTGTATGATAAAAAACGGAAATGGGAACGTAGCAAAGTTACTACAGTAAGTGGTTAACGTCCGAAACACGGATTGCCAGCTTATGAGATGTTCGAGTAGCGTCAGGTAGCTATAGTCTAGTCTCTTATGTCCAAATGGGTCGACGTTAAGCGCCGAAAGAAGGAAATAATCACCTAAAAAGTGTCGGGCCTAGAGAATAC